TGTAGACAGCTGGTTGCGGAAATTTACGCCGTCTGTAATTATCTCTACGGCAGCCTAGCTGCTTGAAGTCATCGCAACTATAAACTACAGGTTGCAGCGACCAAAGTTTGTAGATAAACGTTGGTAGCGACTGCATTCTCGCATTTCCACGCATCACTCCGAACAGAAAGGCGCTAGTTTCGGTTTGAAGTCGGTACCTTTACTACAACGTAGATGGCGGCAGCATCAGCCTTCTGCATTCGGTGCATTTGGCGAGTTCGTTTGAATCCAGTTTTCCGTGCAACACTCTGGGAGTGCGATGCATTCTGGGAGAGAACTCGAACGGTGCCAGTGCGTGTGAAACGAACTCGCTATAAGATATCTAGGGAACCACTCCACCCCATAGGGACATGCTTCCCTTTCCCTTTCCCTAACTGTAATGCAATAAATTCAATAATCGCCTTCTCCCGTCTTCGTTCACAATATTACCCCGGCTGCACCTGTCAATCTTCACTCATTCCCATTATATATACGGTGCAGCCTGTCCCTATGGGGTGGAGTGGTTCCCTAGATATCTTAGAAGACGGGCCCTTTCCGACATTTGCAAGCTGAGATGACGTGCCACATCACTGCCGCATGTCGGAAATAGCGCAGGCCTTAAATCAGCAACGGTTGTCGTCTACCCAGTTAGGCGAATTCGAAACTAATACACAGAGAGCTGGTCAGAAATTGAGTCCGCCGAAACCAGTGGCCGGGATGGTCTAATCGGTTAAGGCGTTGCCCCGGACAGGCGAAGGTTGTGGGTTCAATCTCCGCTCCTGGCCCCATTTTTCGCCAGCTCTCTTTTCCTTTCCCTTACTTTAATGCAATAAATTCAATAATCACCTTCTCCTCTCTTCGCTCACAATATATATATTGTCAGCATTTTGTTTTTGAGGCGTTCGTGTTCCTGTAAAACACATTAGGATGTTTGCGCCGGGACAAGCTGAGTGTGTATAATATTTTAGTGTGTAGTCAACAGGTGACTATCGACAACGGTCTCACGACCGCGACGTAAGAGCTTGGTATACGTGCCGTTACTACTGTACTTCCTCCGAATGTGACAGCCAGGCAGATTTGACATGTTAGGTAGCATTGTGCCAGCGTTGGAAGCCTTTCAAAACAAATGAGCACGGTTTATTCTCACAAACATATACCACGTGCTGCACTTCAAGCGTCCCACCATGAAAACTACTCGGTTATTGCTATTTCTGTACTTCGTTCAAAAAATTGACCCCTTTTTTTATTTAATAAAATTAAAATGTGTAATTCCCCCCTATGCGACAGATAATCCTCCATCCTCTTCATGTTTCCTTTCGTCTCGATTGTCAGCAGAAGGTTGGCATCCCAAGTTTGAACACGACAATGTTTCATTCATATTTCATCCCCCGTACGTACCGGGACTGAAACTATCTTCCTGGTGCAATTGCCACAATCACGAACTGGGAGCTTCTCAAAACTGCATTTTTGTTCTGTGTGTCTAGTTTGTAATATATATTTTGTTATTGTTTCAATTTGTTTTACTCCTCTTTTCCTCCTCTGTAATGCCGTCGGGCCCCGAGAGAATACTATAGAAACAAATAAATAAAAACGAGTACAACAAATAGATGAAGTGAAGCGCCAATCTGTGTCAGCCACGAGCCTTTAGTTTTTTTTTTGTGTTTTTTTTTTTACTGTTACCAGGTATTGGCATGAAAGGTTGCACCTGAACGCGACGAGCATTTATTGCCCGCCTTTTCGCTGAAACGTTAGGGTTATGACTCTTTCATCGTGACGTCTGTATTCCAAAATAGGATGAACAAGCTGCGTGTTCTCTTCGCAGAACAGGATGTACAGTGCGCTGCAACATGAAAGACCCACTGGGAGCGCGTGGCCAAGCGGTTGCTGGCGGGGGCGCTGCGAGCGCTCCAGGCAATTCCATTCTGCTTCGAGGAGAGGACGCTCACTCGGGACACAGCTAAAGCGCGCGCTTATCAGCTTGTGCCACTGATCTTTATTTTAGTAGGCTGGATCGCGGATCAGGAGCCCGTAGGTGTCGCCACCGGCGGCCATTGCTTGACACCAGGCAATACACTCAAGTCTATGGGAGAAACGCACAAAAGTAAGCATATTGCAGCAGGTGCGCTGTGCTCGGAGGCGAGTATTTTATCGTGCGCTGCGATCCTTATCTCGTGTGTTTGGAGATCGAATCGGTATTTTTCAAACGTTCGAACGCCGAATAAAAAATCAAACGTACCGGAGCACCTACGGTTGAGCTGTCAAGCTTGCTCTCGTAGTAGAGTAAACAAAGGAACTCGCCGTCAATAAGACCGTCCTTAGGGAAGCCCAGAAGTTGATGAATGACAAAGAAGTTCCATATCGACAGCGGCTTTCCGGGAGTGAGCGAATTTCGCGTAGCAAAGCCTTCGAGCTTGTCGTCTGCTAAACCCAACTCAACGAAACCACCACCGACTCAGCGGTAACTCTAGGTAACTCTCGCCTCATTGTGCTGCACTACAGCGGAGTCACTCTCGACCACAAAATATTTATTTATAAGAACAGCGTGGATTGTCAATTTTATTGTTTGTACGCAAGCTATTTGACGGGCTTATCGAAAAGCAGCCAAAAAGTTTCAGTGCCGACAGCAGCTTAGAAATGGGGGAAACGGCACTTTTCCTTGTTCTTCCCATAGAGTCCCATGCATTGACTGGTGTCAATCAATGGCCGCCGGTGGCGACACTCGGCCCCAGCTGCCGAGGCCGCGGTCCGCGATCCAGCCTACTACAATAGAGATCAGTGGCTTGTGCTCAGCCCCGAGTGAGCGTCCTCCCCTCGAAACAGAATGGAATTGCCCGGAGCGCTCGCAGTGCCCCCGCCAGCCACTGCGTCGGCCACGCGCTCCCAGTGGGTCTTTCATATTGCGGCGCACAGTACAGTTCAAGAGGGGATTTGTAAAGTGAAGGATTCGATGTCTGCAGATGAAAAGTTTCACAATACAGAAACAACTACCCAGAATTTCGGTCGATTGCGGCGGTAGAGGTTTCTTTTTTTAACAACAACGCGACTGGGCAGTCGCTATATGTTCGTTTCAGCTGAAGCCCAGACGCAGCCTTGTTCTCAGCCAGCGAGTCTCGCTGCCTGACCAACTTCCATTTTGGCTGTCGAGGTTCTGCAATGCCGGACTGCATGTCAGACGATCGCTACAAGGCTTTTACTAACTTAATACGTGTGCCATGGGTCGAGGCCGCCACTTAAAGGGGCACTGGCACCCCAAAGGTGGTATTTGTTCTTGTTGTATAAAACAATGCAAGTTGTAGTCATAAACACGCAAAAAATACAAAAACGTAAAAAAAAAAAAAAATTTACAGCGCGCGAGCGCGTTTTGTTTTTTAACTTTTGGCGATTTCCTCTCCCACTTCTAACCTCCCCGCTTCTTTTTATTCGTGACGTAATCGATTATGAAATTTAGAAACTTTGTAAGCGACATTCCTATAATATTTAATAACGGCATTCCTAAAACATGTTTTTTAACGCAATTTCGAACGCACTACGGCCCTTCTTTTTGAAATACCGAAAATCAGAGTCCAGAGTGATGTCGCCTCCTGGATTTTTATCCTCCCTCGGAAAACATGAAGGCACTCGACGCATGTAGCACTAAGGATGATCGGTGAATCGGGGGATTGGACGAAGTTCTCATTTTTAGGTGCCCGATGACCTCTCAGATTTCGAAAAGGAAATTGTCGAGCGGTCAAAACCACTGGGTTTGGTGCCTCTGTAGCGTTGTGTCGGTTGTGACCAGGGTGTAAGATAGACAGGTGGTGAAACGAGAGCCAAATGAACGACCGGATTGTGTCCCCCTCGGGTTTCTCTTTTTCTGTGGCGCCATCTATCTGGCGCACCGCGAACTCTCACTCCGGGTGGGCGACCGGTAGCGACCGGCTAAACTGACGGAGATGATTTCTCGTGGATTTTTAATGAAGGAATGTTGTGCTCTCGGTTTATTTTGCGCACGCTCCCATAAAGTTCAATGCAAATTCGATTCTGACTTTTTTTTCCTCTCGCCGCAGCGCCATCTGTTGCAAACCGGGGGTACCCGCAAGCAGACGAGTAAACAATCCGGTCACGGCGCTGCGGTAGGCTTCTATGGGCCGTTTCCCCACCTGTCTATCTTACACCCTGGTTGTGACTCCGCCGGTGCTGTCTTTCACGCAGAACCGGCGCGACGTGGTCCCTCACGTCGCTCACAAAAGTCCACTGCGCGTTCTCTTCGACCTCACACCGTTTCAAAGAATTTGAGATTGCCAAAAGGGCCCTAAAAGAACTTCAAACTCGAAAGTGAAGCTTTGTCTGCTCAAAGCGATAGGCGGCACGCACTGATCGGTTGTTAAGCACGGCAGGAACCATGCTACGACATGTTTCTTCCTGGATTTTTTCGGTGATCATTAGGTTGCGGATGCCGAATGATTTCTTGCAGCTACTATGGAGCTTCTTTTAAGTCACAAAAAATCGAGCACAATGTGCTTTTCAGCAAAATTCTTTATCACACATAGAGAGCCCTCTTTTGCCTTTTCATTTTTATGTTGCCGTCTTGTCGCGCGTTTGCAAAGTATCGTCGAAGGTAATTCAGTTAGTTTTTGCAAAATATTTGTATTCTACTCAAGATATATTCCGGTAAATGTAATTTGAATATTGTTCCTTTGCCAAGTCCTAGAGTAAGTGCGAAACCCATATGCGGTGCTCTTGTACACACTACGTCAATGAATAGATCAGCGAGCGAGTAAATTGCATGTCTAAAACATGAAAAGTTAACTGCAGTGGGAAGTAGACGGAATTGCAGCGTCACTAATAGCTGCCACTCCACCGTAAGAAAAAAAAAAGAAGAAATCACTGAGATAATGCTGACGACTAAATGACAATAAAGGTGATTCCTTCAAATTTATTTTTCATAATTTAACGTGTAAATAAAAATATGAAATAAAACTAAACAACGCAGGGTCGTCAGTTCATTTTGCCTTGTCCTTGACACTCTTTCTTAAGCTGTTTCGACCGTGAGTGTAGGCCTTTTTGTAGAAGCGCGCAAACATGGTGAAAAAGAAGGCCGCTTCGCACACGATGATGACCGAGTGAAACTTTGGGTACCCGCAGTCGTTAAACACGGGAATCGTGATGTGCAGGAACATGACGACGAACTGAACTAGCTGGAGTCCCGTGAGATAGCGCTTCCACCACAGGTACGGACGAATGGCGGGCCCCAGCAGGGACAGGAAGTAGTAGGAGTACATGACGACGTGAACGAAGCAGTTTAGAACAACGGTGAGTGTGACCTGGCCATCGGAGCCATACGCGAGACCGTACCAGCAGTTGAAGACCACCAGGACGTGGTGCCCAACGTGCAGCAAGGACACGTGGGTGTCCTTCTTGCGGAGCACAAAGAAGATGGTGTCTAGGAAGTCGGCTATCCTTAGCCAATGGTACCACCAGTACAGTTCAAGGACCTCCATGGTGGCCCGGTCGCTCGCTTCGTAGTTGATGCCCTGGCAGATGATGTTGTAGCCGCCGCCGAGGTAGGACCCGGTCAGAAAGCAGAAGAAGAAGTAGCCATTGACGAGTACCATAGAGAAGTTGTAGACGAGGATGAGCGGCTTGAGGTTTTCGTACGGCTTGCGAGTCTTCATGAACCGGGGTCCACCGTACCTGACTAGGTACACGTAGCCGACGAGCAAAGTGACAAGGAACGGCTTGTTGCCGGCGAGCGCCCATTCTGATGTACGCGGGTCTCGCTGCGGAAACATGTCGAAGCTGTAGTTTGCAGAGTACAAGCTTTAACGACGATGTTTGCTCGGTTTATGCTCGCCTGTTCTACTGAATTATTGCGAGATTCGTTTGCGTGTAACCGACTGCAGCTGTTTCAACCAAGAGAGGTTGACAAACGATCAGCGGTGTGGCTCGCTGCAAACTTGTTATACCTGTGCTCAATACTCGAAATGATGCTCGATGGTGACGAGAGAAGCAGCTGCATGCGCTGCTCTATGCGACGAGAAACTGGGGGAGAAGAGGAGGCGAGAGCGCGTGGGGGTCGTCAGAACGCCGAACGCTAACTAGAATGATTACTGGGTAGACGCAAACCTAGCTGCCTTTGTATCTACTCGCTGTTCGAACGCGTTCGAACGCTAACGCTAGACGCCGAACCCACTAATCATGGCAGTTAGTGCTCGGCCATAGCCTCCTCTATACTCACGAAGCCTGGCAGTTCGACGACGTATACTCGTAGAGTGCCCAGTTGCAGATTTGGAGCGCGAGGATCTGGTAGCACAGAGCATCAGAGAGCCATTTCTGGGGGAACCTGGACGTCAGCGCACAGATTTTGCAGCGGCGAGGACCCAAAACACACCTGTTCGCTCGGGGAAGTGTATTTCGGCGTCTCGCCGCAGCGGGGCGCCAATCACGCGGCTCTCCTCTCATCCGTTGTCTGCCGCTCCACCTTGTCCATTTCGGCGGCCGCTTCTCGTGGCGATCTGCCAGGCTTTGTCAGTATATAGGATGCTATGGCTCGGCATTCTGATGTCTCCGCGCGCTCTCGTCGCCTCCTTTCCACCAATTTCTCGTCGCATCGCCCTTTGAAAGGGAAGAAACATTCGTTATTGTGCCATATCCGGCAATCTGCCACCATTCCTCTCCGAGCACGTCCTTAACGTTTCGGGTGAGGAGTGGCCATAGGGTTGGGTGGAAATCCCCAGAGGGGAGGAAAATCCCTTCCCCCTCCCCCCCCCCCCCCCCCCCACACACACACACACACACACTTGTTTTGTGGTTTTCTTATTGAAACAAGTGTCAAGACTCAAAACCACATGACAAAAGATAAGGCGCGAGGGCGGGTTTTCTGTCGACTATTTTATTTGTTGACTACTGTTCTGTCGACGTAGACGAAAAAACCCGACCAAGTCCTAGGCAGCTCCCGGCTTTGACACACCGGAGGGTGATGAAGCCTGCGCAGAGGTTATATGGAAGTTGAGGGATTGCTTCTAATTTTCCTGGGACGTCTTGCCTAGCAAGAATGAAAGCTAGCTTGAAGAACTCGTGTTGTCAGTTGGTGTCCCGGTGAGCGATATTGGTTCATTTGAATTTGCGCCGTTCGGTAGACGAGAAAGGATTTGATATAAGTAAATATTTTATGGCCATGGTTGGTAGATATGAAGCTTTCTAGTAAAGCATCGTGAGCTACCTTGTCGAAAGCCATGTGTACGCGCCAGGCATGACGCGTAGTTTTGCGTTGCTTGGGTGTTAGTCCACGTTTTCCGAGACTCTGAGCATTGGGCATTGTGTACTCATGTGGTGTGTGAATCCCGGGAGGGGGGGGGGGGGGGGGTATTTACCCTGGCAGTTGCGACATCGCGGTTCGCATTCATGGAGTGTGTACAGTATTGTGCTCGTCGGAAGGTTAGTGCTGCAGCTTTGGCATGTGATGTATTGGTTCTTTCTTTGAGATACTTCTGCACGATGCCCAATGGTGAAGCAGTACCTACATAGCAGGCTCCTGGGAGTTTATGAGTACATTCGCGTGACCAAGCGACCGTGGCATAGCCTCCTGTATACTGATCCTGCCTGCAATCGCCGGTTGCCAGCTATCAACACAGGGGTGCGCAGCTTCCCCCTACAAGACAGAAAACATGAACGGCGTGAACGACGTGAATAAGACTTTTCCGTGCGTTCTTGCATTCTTGGTGCTGTTTTTAGAATTTGTCGTGCTAGCTGTGGGCAAGGAAGTGCCGGTACTCTCATTTCCAGAGACCCCAAGCATCCACCGGGACCATGGAAAGTGAGTGAAGCTCGTTTCGAGGAAAGACTGCGTCCCAAATAATACCTCCTGGCACTCAACACAATGTGGTAGGCAGCTTTTTTCGATGGACATTAAGGAAGGCCTGTCTGGTCACCCTCGTGCATCCTGCTGATGCTTCACTCAAAACCCAGCTTGGCTCGGGCCTCCCTGGCGTCAAAGCTGTAATACCCCATGTACTCTATATTTCCAGGTCCTCCGGTGTTGCTTGACTGACTCTCAGTGCTTACGTGCCCATATCGCTCTCAACCACCTCGTGTTAGTGGCGGGCGCTTGACGGCAGGCTTCTGCTCTTCGCCTGGTCCAATTGGCTTCAAAAATAAAAACATTCAGTGTCCGTTGTTTTGACATTGTGGAAGTTTACCAGCTCGTCTTTCTGATCTGTAATTTGTGTTGGGTCATGCCTACCGTCCACTCTATTTATTCACTTTTGGAAACCACATATGTTGCTACTCACCCGTTATTAAATTTAGGTTCGGAAGGTATTGAAATCACGCACGTTGCGTGATTTCAATACGTAAACCGTAAACCAAACGCTACTATCAATGTTCTAGAAGAAATGCGTGATTTCGTATTAAAACACGCAAATAACTGCACCAAATTAATTGTTGCAGGTGACTTTAACTTAGCAAATATAAATTGGTGCGAAGAGAAATTAAGAAATAGTCATGACAAACACGTAGAAGTTCTTATGAGCACTGCGTTCAACGCCGGCATTGAATAGATCGTGACAGAAGCCGCTAGAATAAATGAGAAGGAAGGGTCAATACTCGACCTAATATTCGTTAAAAGGATACTGAACCGAAATTTGGATTTCGCAAAGTAAGGCTGCAGAAGTGTTGAACCGGACGCTACGAACTCCAAAACATCACTCGCACATCGATATCTCAAACGGACGGCCGTACTTTTGGAAAAGAAGGGTGCTATCAAGTGAGTTCTGTGACGTAACTGTCCTCCGCGAGAATTTGAGAATGAGAGGAATTAAGTGGCCTCGCTTCTCTCCTCCTCGTTTCGATTCACCAGTTTGACGGGACGTAGCGAGGAGGAGAGGGAATGTAGAATCGTGACGTCCCTTGTCTCATCGGCCTCGTCGGCAGGGTTCAATCGCGCACTTCTTTTCCAAAAAATACGGCGATCCATTAGATATATCGCCGTATGAGTGATCTTTTTTGGTTTGCAGCTTCCCGCCTATCCGCCCGGCCTTGTTTAGTCAGCTCGAAATTTCGGTTCAATATCCCTTAACACCACTGATCTTAAATACAGTGTATCCATTCATGAAGGAATTTCGGATCATAAACGGGCCTTTGTCTTGTTCGGTACCTTATCGTTAAAATAAACATGATGTTAACAAAGTTGTTTTTAAGGATTATTTGCATAGAGAGGATGAGTCAGTAATAGATTATCTCGAGATGTCACTGGATGGATTCGTGAAACACAAAGACATCAAGCAGTTGTGGAACAGTTTTGAGACAATAATAGCGTACTGCGAGGACAATTTTATACCAGCGAGGACTGAAAACAACAAAAAGGTGAAACCCGTGGATAAATCGAGATATTATTCATATCAAACGTAAACTAAAACGTAAACGCAAAAGCACAAAACATAGCATTGAAGTGGTAGAGCTAGCGGAACACTTAAAAACGAAGTTAAAAGGACCAAGAAAAAATATTATTCTGAAACACTTCCTGGTTTTATGAAAAATGAACCGAAAAGTGCTGGTGTCATTTGTCACCGGAAAAAAAAAAAAGAAAATAGCGCAGAATAATTGCGGGAGCGTTACACTTGCAGAAGAAGTTGACATAGCAAATGCTTTTGATGCATATTTTCTGTCGAAATTCACCGTGGAAAAAAAAATACGGTAATCTCTCAGGAAATAACCTTGAATGTCGAGTCGCATATGCCAGAACTTAGCGTGAGTAAACAACATATTTTCTAACTACTACAGGGGCGGCCAAGCTGCAACTCGCGGCTTCCTATCCAACCCCCCCCCCCCCCCCCCCCCCCCCCCTTATCATCCCGGTAACAAGAGCACTTCTCCAAAAAGAGAAATGGGACGCGTTTTAAATCGAGATAGGTAGCGGTTTGGCAGTCTTGGACTACTGCTACCTTACTCACGGTTGGACTGCTTTTGACTCGGATAGATTGAAAGTTGTTCGAGTTTCGTTTATTGCTGTAAACAAAAGTTTACCCCCCCCCCTTCCCCCCCCCCCCCCCCCCCCCCCCCCCCCCCCCCCGCGGCTCTTGGAAGTTTTGTGGTTTTGTTTGCGGCTCTTAGGCCGGGTCAGCCTGGCCACCCCTGACCTACTATATTAAATCTTGATACTAAAAAGCACTAAGGCCGAATACGATAAGTAATTGCTTTCTGAAAAGATATGCAGAATTGGTCGCAAAATATTTATTCATCATATATAATGTATGTCTTCTGCAATGTCAAGTGCCAACAGACTGGCTAGGGGCCAAAGTTATTCCAATGACCAAAACTGAAAAGAAGCCACATTTGAACAACTATCGACCTATTTATCTTACCTCGACATGCTGTAGTAAAGACATCAGAACTTACATAAGATAATAGCTTTTTTTGTAACTAACACGGGTTTACAGCTGGTGTTTCTACGGTCTCACAGCTGAGTGAGACAGTGCTTGATTTCGTGAAAGGTGACTTAACAATAGAGGCCTTCGATAAAGCGCCTCACAGTAAGTTAATTCATTAACTTCACGCTACCGGTATTGATAACAAACTTGTTTCCTGGATAAGCACCTACCTGAGTGACCGCGTGCAGTTTGTGGAAATCGGTGGAAAGGGTTCAACCCCTCTCAATGTATATTCTGGTCTGCCACAGAGCTCAGTGCTCGGGCCTTTGTTGTTTCTCATCTATGTAAATGACATAGGCAATAATTTTCACCGATCCACAAAGAAGAAGAGGTTTATTTAGAAAGACAGAGAGGTCGCTCCATGCAGTTTGCATTAACCAGTTTCTCTGTGCTGGGGAGGGGGAATAGGGGATGCCAAAGAAGGGCAAGAAGAGGAAATTAATAAAAACACATCACAATAACGTGGAGCTCTATATCTGCTCCTTAAAGACGGCAAATAAGTTGGGTATCACGTAAGAAACGTAGTAGGTATTTGGTCGCATCAGCCAGCTTTTCTGGGCTCTCCCACGCTCCTAAGATCTTCTGGAGAGAGAACGGTCGGGAGTCCAGCTGGGAAAGTTCTTCAGTAAGCACCTCCCTTTCCACGTCATAAATTGTGCAAGTGCATAACAGGTGTTCTAGTGACTCCACTTCTTCACATATCAAGCAGTTTGCAGAAGGTTTTTTCCCAATACAGTGGAGATATTTATATGTAAATGCAACGCCCAGCCTGATTCGGTGAAGTACTGATTCAGTCTTTCTTGTAAGGTTTCTGGGCGGTCTGAACTTAAGTTCAGGATCTATATTATAAAGTCGTGGATAGTGGTGAGAAGGGCTTGCCCAGAGGGCCGCACCTATCTTTTTTCCGACCCAGAAAACCGTTGCACCAGCGTCAGTTCTTGAATATGGAACAGAAATGCTAGATATGTTGTCGTGACCGCTCTTTGCTGCTTGGTCAGTGGCCTCATTACCAGGGACGCCACAATGGCTCGGGATCCATTGAAAGTGAATGTGGTGGCCAGCCTGTTAGGCCTGTTGGCAGAGGCTGACTACGGTGAATGTCAGCTGTTCATTTGCTCCACGTCGTAGATAGTGCTGCATGCTCTGGAGTGCAGCTTTTGAGTCAGTGAAAACGGACCATGCTCGTGGTTCGGTGCGTATTATATATTTCAAGCTTTCCCTAATGGCCACCAGCTCCGAGACAGTTGATGAGGTGCGGTGGTCTAGTCTGAATTTGAGCACGACTTGTTCCATGGGTATAACTACTCCGGCAGCTGAGCTTTGATGAGTTGTTGACCCGTCAGTGTAAATGTGAGTTCTGAACCGATGGTTGATATTGATTAATGAGAGGGTCAGTTGCTTTAATACAGTTTGTGCAGTTGACGCTTTTTTCTGTATGCCATCTATATTGAGTGATATTGTAGGGCATGTTAGTGTCCAAGGTGGAACATCCGCCAACTTTGGTGTTTCAAACTGCTTTGGTATATTTGGCTCCTGCTGTATCAAGAATTTAGCATAGCTTGAATCTTTCCTGGATGATTGTATCCGGGCAAGGTGGTGGGATTCATGCCTTGTTAGGTGGCGTAAGTGTACACGTAGTGTTTCTTTTGCACGAAGTGCTTCAATGGATAGGCACCCAGCTTCTGCTATAACACCCAAAGTCGATGTTGAGTGCGGAACACCTAAGCAAGCACGAAGAGCAGAGCCCTGTACACTTTGTAGTCGCTTCAAATTCGTGGCGCACATCCCATGAAGGACTGGCAGGCTGTACCTCAATAGACCCTCAAATAGAGCTTTGTAAAGACGCAGTACTGATGTTACTTTCGCACCCCAAGTTGTGCCACATATAAAACGTATGAGGTGTATAAAGCTGGTCAATTTTTTTCTAAGGTGCATAATGTGAGGCGTCCATGTCAGTCCTCGA